GATTACTCCATGGAATCTGAGCAGTAATTTTGTTGCTTGTACAAATCAGGTGAGCATCACTTTATATCGGGGAGTTGCATAGCCAGTGAGTTTGTATCTATATGTTATGTTCGGAGTTAGTCATCCCGAAAAGGCGTGGTCGTTCATCCATTCTCATTTATAGATATGTCTAGGCGATACATTATTAGTTCTTTACAAGCAAGGCTAAAATCTATTTCAGCTACCTTCTTTATGCTTCTGATCAGTCATCGCTCATACTTTTGTTACTTGGCCGAATCAATACCCATTTATCTGATTTTCATTTGTGGCCTTGAGTAGGACAGAGCAAGTATAGAGCGTTTGGAAATTACTGGGGTTGGCGATCCATCTGGACGGGGTCTAGGATTCAGCTACGTACGAGCTGCACCCAAAGCACCAGCTGCAGCCGGGCTTATGAAGAAAAAGGCAGCAGCCGGTCGTGGAGCCCCAACTGTCACTGGTACAGATGCTGATCTTCGCAGATTAAGTATGGAAGCAGCTCGAGAGGTACGCTTCTTTATTTCAGATGTCTAGGAACCTGAAAGGGCTTGTTCGAAAAATATTTACAAGTTGTCCATTTCTTTAGACTTCTACCAAAGTATTTAATTGTGTAAAAATATTGTTTGGCTGGATCTTGTTATAGGTTCTACTCAAGTTCAATGTTCCTGATGAGATAATTGCCAAGCAAACTCGATGGCACCGTATAGCTATGATACGGAAGCTATCAAGTGAGCAGGCTGCATCGGGTGTTAAGGTTGACCCCACGACCATAGGTAAGTATGCCCGTGGCCAGAGAATGTCTTTCCTACAGTTGCAACAGCAGGCCCGAGAAAAGTGTCAGGAAATTTGGGATAGGCAACTTCTGTCCCTTTCAGTTTGTGATGGTGATGAGAATGAAAGTGAAAATGAGGCGAACAGTGACTTGGACTCCTTTGCTGGAGATCTAGAAAATCTACTTGATGCTGAGGAGGGTGGGGAGGGGGAAGAATCTAATATGTCTAAGAATGACAAGTTGGATGGTGTTAAGGGCCTGAAGATGAGACGGCGGCCATCTC